TCTTTCCAAAGGACACTCCTAAACTGACTTCTGGCACGCTACTGCTCTTGGGCCAGACACACCATTCTTACTGCCTTAAAGAGGTGGGGCCCACGTAGCCAGAGACTGGAAGCCACGGCTTCCTGCATGCTGACCCAGTGACCCGGTCCAACCAAGTCCTAGGTAAAGCTCACCAGCCCCTCCCTCACAGCGATCTCGGAGGCACGCTGAACACTGTACTGGCTGTTTCCGCTGAGCCTCCCCTGCAGTGTGTGTTCTGGAAAGCACGGCTTGTTTGGGAATGTTTTAAAAGCATCATTTTCAATAGAATTAAAAATGTAGCTAGGAGTCAGAAAAACAGTTATAACTCAGTATGCTATTATGCCACCTGCCTAATTCCCAGGTGTGCAGACACCCCCACAAATTAGAACACTGTCACACTTAGATAGGCTGTCTGGGAGTGAAGGAGGAAGAGAAGAAAGTCAGAACGTTCGGATTCCAGTATCGTTAAACAGGAGCGCTTTGGAAAACTACTGGAAGCAGGTCAGCTAGGCTGGCTCCTAAGTGAGGACTGCTCTCAGGGGTCTGCCCCCCACCCTCCGGAGAACAGAACAGTGGAGACAGATGAGGGATTCCGAGTGGAAACACAAGCTGGGGGAAATCATACAGGAGGAGAGGAGCCAGACGGTGGGCAACATAGCACTTCGCAAGATAATCCCACATGGGAAGGTTCTGGGTTCAAGTCTGAAGATCTCCGTAAGTATGTCAGGCACGTATTCGCCGCAGGTCCAGGGTTGGCTGCAGGACGAGGGTAAACTGAAGTGTTGAGACCTTTCGGAGGGTGCTGTCCCTCTGTCTCTGTCTCATTTATGAAAGCAATAAATACACACACTTTTTAAATTATTCCATTTAACTTTATTTATTTTAATTTGACCTGAGAGGGACAGAGCGGAGTGAGTGAGTGAGAGAGTGAGAGAGCGAGAGAGAGATGGAAAGCATGAAGGCAAGTTGCCAGGTCTAGGACTTGAACCGCGGTCAGTCATGTGGGAGTCCAGCGTCCCCAGCCACCAAGCCACCTGCTGGCCCCAATAAATAAACTTTTTTTTAAAAGAATTATTCAATTTAATTTATTTATTTTTATTTTGACCAGAGAGGGACAGAGCAAGAGCGAGAGTGAGAGCGAGAGAGAAAGAAAGTGAGAAAGCAAGCCACCAGGTCTGGGACTCAAATTGCGGTTGGCCATCTAAGAGTCCAGGACCCTTAACCACCACACCACCTGCTGCCCCCCCCCAATAAATAAACTTTTAAAAACAAAGTTAGCAGTTGGCATAATGGCTATGTCACTGGACTCCCATGTAGTTGACTGTGGTTTGAGTCCCAGACACACTGGGCGCGTGTGAGTGCGTGCCCAAGATCTCGAGAGGAGAATGGAGGAGACGGGATTCCGGCGTGGCCATCCCCCCTGGGGGTGATTTCTCGTTTTCTGTCTCTCTGTCTCTCTCTGGCGAGCACGTGCACCCTATAGCAAAAATTTCCCCCTCCCAAAAAACAACAACAGAAAAAACCCCCACCAGGCTGACCCCATAGCACAGTGGTTAAGTGCTGTGGATAGTGAAGTAGATCCATACCGTCTACTGCCGATCAAATTCTGCCCCAGGATGCTTGAAATACATGCTGGGCACAGCACATGCATTTCCAAAATCCTGATGGGATAGAGAAATAGAGGAAAAGGACCGCAGCATGAACATGCCCCGTTGGGAAGTGCTTTCTATTTCTCTTTAAATTAGCTTCCTCTCTCTCTCCTTTAAGCCAGAGGGCACGTGCGCTCACCTGAGAGAGAGGAGAAAGGATGCCCCATTGCATGGGGCTGCAATCCCTTTCTATTTCTCCATCCCATTGTGAGTCTGGGCACTCACACGCATGTGATGGCATGTTTTCCAAGCTGCCAGGGCTAAGATCTGAACTGTGGTCAGTCACGTGGGAATCCAGCTGCCTTAACCGACCTGGGGTCGGTCCGGGGGAAACCCGCCTGCCTTAACCACTAGATTACCAGGCCAGCCTGTGCTCTCTCCCTCTCCCTGTCTGTCTCTTTCTGTCTCTCTGTCTCTCCCTCTCTCTCTCTTTCTGGTTAGTGCATGTACCCTCTCGCAAATTAAAAAAAAAAAAGAAAGAAAGAAAAGAAAAACAAAGGAAACACCTGGAGCAAGCAGGTGTATGTTGATTAAGGCACTGGACTCCCACATGGCCAACAGTGGTTCAAGTCCCAGACCTGGTAGCTTGAAAATCACACCAGGCACATGTGCATGCATGCCCAAAATCCTGAGAGAAGAATGGAGGAAAAGGGATTATCATGTGGCCGTCCCCGTGTGGAGAATGATTTCTCACTTTCCTTCTTTCTGTCTCTCTCTGGCAAGCATATGCACCCTATGGCAAAAATCTTAACACGAAAAACAAACAAAACCCCAAACAAAACCAAGCCTGTATGTTTATTAACAGCACAGGGGTTTGGGAGAGCAGGGGAAGAGAGCACATGGCGATTCTGCCCTGCCCTTTCTCGTGCTAGGAGAAAGCACAGAGCAGACATGATTTCCTTGGGAGGGCAACGGCACGTCCTTCCACCCCACGTCTAGGGGCTGCGGAACTGGCCTCTGCGTTACACCTTACACCAGAACTGTCCCCTCTGAAGACAGCCTGGACCCTAGAGCCTTCTGATTTGTTCTGACTCAAAATAACAAGTTTTTGGCAACCTGTCCCCCAAAGGTCCCTGCAATACTTTCAGACTGTTCCTCCCGTGCCTTTGTTGTTCACAAGAGGAACAGAACGAAAGCTCTGAACATAGAGAAGTCATCCTGCATATCATGGTGCTGGCTGAGGGTTGTCGGACCCAATTCTACTAAGGTGTTTCGCCAAGACATCTTTCCCTGGGGGGTTAAAAAAAGAGCACTTCTTCTCTAAATGGGGGGAAGGCCAGCCACAGAGGCACGGCAGTAATGCAACGCTCCAGGCTGCTGAGGGCACACAGGAAGGTCTGGTTTCGCATCCTGGAGGCCCTGTGCACACCAGAGGCGGGTGTGCCCATGATTCTGGCTGGCTGAGGCGGAGCTGCGGCTTGAGGACGACTTTGGGGAAGCCTGTGTGTGTGGTGTGTCTGTCTCCTCCTCTCATGAAAGAAATAAACTTCAAAAAATACACAATGAGGAAAAAAGGAAAAATACGTTAGGAGATACATTTTCTCTGTTAAAATCCAAGCCCAGAGGGACAGGGTACTCGTACAGATCTCTGCCCATGAACTATGACTCTGCACAAGGTAGAAGAGCCGACATCCGCTGCTGCCTTGGGAGCACCCGCCGGAGCCGACAGGGTGCTTCTAACAGTTCCCTTTTTCTCTCCCCCTCCCTGCCCCACCTGGGGGTCCCTAAATGAAACCTGACTCTAACTAATAGCAGCCACAATTCACTTAGAAATCAAACAGGGGACGAGCAGATGGCATAGCAGTTACATCGCTGGACTCCCACATGGCTGACTACAGTTCGAGTTCCAGACCTGGTGACTCGAAACTTAAGCCAGGAGCGTGTGTGCGCACGTGTGTGCATGCATGCCCAAGATCCTGGGAGGAGGAGAAGGGACTGTGGTGTGGCCATCCCACTGGGGGGGTGATTTCCCACTTTCCTTCTCACTGTCTCTGTGTTTGTCTCTCTCTGGTGAGCACACATGCAAGGCAAAAACCCCTAAAAAAAAAAATCAAATAACAGAGCTGGAAATATAGGACAGACCTATAACTCGCAGCGGTGAGAGTCTGATATTTTGTTCTCATACTTGAAGACCCTTTACTGACTTGCGTATGCAAATATTCACCCAATTTCACTAATCTGAAATACAGCTGCCTTTTCAGATCCACGAGAGAAAGAGGAGCTATAAGAGACGTACGGATGAAATGTATGTTCGGCGGTGAGAGACTGAAGGCAGGCAATTTCGGATCCCGGTATTTAAATGGAGAGCAAGCACAACTGTCACTGGCTTGGCCACTTGTCATGACACCAACAAGTTCTGCATTATCTGCCCATTCTGATAATTAATTAACTATTGTTCTAGACAGACTATCTATCCAAGGTCCTACTACTTGAGAGCTGCCAGTAGCAGCTATCTGAGATACTGCTAACATTTTTATGCTGAATAAAAGAAAAATACACATACACACATGGCAGTTTTTTGTCTGTCTGTTTTTTAGTTTATGCTGTAGGGGCGTGCTCCCTAGCTGGACAGGAGAGACAGAGAGAGAGAGAAGGAAAGTGAGAAAGCAGCCCGTGGCAGGATGGCCACGCCACAATCCCTTCTCCTTCATTCTCCTTTCAGGATTTTGGGCATGCGTGCACACACTCTAAGTCTGTTTTCAAGCCACTGGGTCCGAGGCTCAAACCATGCAGTCAGTCATATGGGATCCATTTGCTGTAACCTCCATGCCACCTGCTGGCTCAACACACAGCTTTTTTTTTTTCTTTTTGAAAGATTTTTGCTATAGGGTGTGTATGCTTGCCAGACAGATGGAGAGACACAGGGAGAAGTCATCCCCCAGGGGGATGGCCAGTCACCTCTCAGGATTCTGGGCATGCACATACATGCACCCGGCGTGAGTTTTAAGCCACTGGGGTCCGGGACTTGAACTGTGGTCACCTATGTGGGAGTCCAGCAACGTAACCATTACGCCATCTTGGTGGTCTCACACAGCACTTTTTTAACCACGATAAACTATCCTTGAACAATTGCCATCATCAATCACCTCTCCCTGAGACATGCAAACCACGCCCATGGCTCGTCCTGACCTGGGGCCTTACCTTAGTGTTCCTCCTCAGGCTGCGGAGGATGTTCCTCCTCCTCGGGTCTTCGTCTGTCTCGTAGGGAATGACAGCGTTGTCCCCTTTGTAGCCCTGGGATGCCTGATCCTCCTCTTTCTTCCGGATGGGCCCCAGCTCATCATCGCTGCCCACGCTGAAGCTGGTCCGGTAACTGGCGAACCTCCCCAGCCGAGTGCATCTCGTCCTGTATAGCACCGGCTTACTCACGGTGGAGACCTTGCGGCTGCGCTCTAGGGAGCTGGTGTCCATCTCGCTGTCGGAGCCGTTCCCGCTGCCATTGGACTGGGCTTTGTTGATATTCCGGATGGTGATGATTTTGCCTTGGGTGCTGTCATGGGGCACAGAGTATATGTTCTCTTCTTCGTTCCTCGGCTTGACCACAGCATCCATGGGTTCAGCGTAGTCGGAGGGATCGAACCCATCCTGGGGCAGCCAGGGGCTGGAAGACACGGACTTCCTCTGCCCGTCCCTGTGGCCTTGGTCTAAGTAGGACAGATCCCCCTTGGTGATTTCGAAATGGACAGGAGGCTTTGGCTTGACTGGCGGAGGTACTTTGTTGTTCAGTTTACTCTCAAAATTGCTCATGATGAAAGACAGTCCGTCATTTCCCTCCAGTTCCATAGAGAGCTTAGAGTGGTCTTTGGACAGAGAGGGCAGTGCTGTGTCTTCTCGAAACAGGCTGTAAGACGGGGGCTCGATATCCTCCTCCGAATCCTGCAGGTTGGAGTTGCAGAGTGGCGACCCTGCCCGGGGGGAGTTGAACACCTCTTCCGTGGTGCTACAGGCCTCGGCAGCGTTATCGTACATATGAGTCGCCTCGATTATGTTCTTCTTCTCCACCACATCTTTAAAAAACGGGTGAAAAATCTCCAGTTTATGCTGGGGCTGGCTACAGGGGATGCTTGTGAACCTTCCGTCGATCTCTTGAGCAATCTCCTCCCCCTCCGTCAGCTGCTCCCGACTGAAGTCATTGTCCAGGACATCGATAGCGCCGTCAGTGAGTGCGACCAGCTGAATGGGGATGATATCCTGCACTTCACAGAGAAAGGCACGCAGCATAGCCAAGGAGGCCTTACGCTTGGCTGAATAGAAAACAATGTACCCATGGACCAACCGGCTCTTTCTGATGCTGAACGAGGAATGGTAGGACAGGATAGACAGTTCGATGCGCTTCTTGTGGAGTCCGATTGGTAGTTCAAGTAAGACTGAGTTGTTGCTTCCACAATGGGAAGACTTACAGGTCTGGGACTGAAGGACAGGAAAGAGGATATCGTCCGCACTAAAAGGGTCTCCACACATCAGACACATAACGATCCGCAGATCCACATCGGCCAAGTCTTTGATGCTAGCGGTAGAACTAACCAGGTTTAAGTTACGCTTCGAGTCCAGGAGCCCCTTCAAAACCTGACTGATTTGCTTCTCATTGATGTTGCGTCCGTAGCCGATGCCAGCAGATGCAGGGTCGAGAAAGACGCACTGCAGTTTGCTGGCGATCTGCTGACCCTGCTGTATTAAGCTATGCAGGGTCTCTCCGCTGGTGTCACCTCTCTTGTTAACTAAAATCAACGTCAGGGGCAGATGAACTAAGTGATTATCCCGCCTGCCAAGGGTGGACTCTCGGCTCTTCTCTATGCTCTCCACTACATAGGAGAGCGACTCCTTCGAGTTGTAAAGGCAGAGACAGCCATGGGGCTGGAAGGTTGGCGTCTGGAAGGAGTTCACAGGAAGCCTGACGTTCCCCTCTATCGGCCTCAGGGAGAGCTCGTACATTTTCCCGTCTATCACATACTTGTCATCATTCGTACAGAGCGCGCGGATCTCGTTGGCCAACTCTCGGGCAAGGCCATCTTTGCCCAAGATAACCAAGTTGATTCTATCAATGTTGGGGTCAGAGAGGGAATTTTTCTGATTCCGGTCAGATGGCCGGATGAACCGAGAGCTAACCAAGTGCTCAATCTTAGCATCGACACAAGACGGGCAGCTGGGGCACGTCTCCTTCGTCGGGTGGTAAACGAAATGAATGTGCTTCAGGATGAGGGCGTCGCGCTCTGCTTGGAGCTTCTGTAATGCTTTAAATCGCTGTTCCTCCCCCAGAACATCCTGGATGACACCCATCTTCTCCTTGCTGGGCTTAGCATCCAGCTCTAGTTCATAAAACAATTCGGAATATTCCAAAAGCAGCTCCTGAAACTCTTCCTTTGCTTTGTCTATAATTTGCTTTTGGTGCTTGCCATAAATGTCCAGGTATACAGACTCTTCCAGCCACTGGTAGAAATCTTCATTCATAATAAAACTTCGGGCCTCTTCCCAAGGTTTCCCGGGAGTTATGAAAGGAGAAGTCTCCAGGTTTTCTTTAAATGCCCTCCTCATCTCAGCTCTTTTCCTCTCGTTCCTCAGCTTCTCTAAGTGGGCCTCGTACAGCTGCTCTGCAGGGACGGTATCCATTAGGTCGAAGGGAATCCGTTCGTTTTCCATGTTGTCGATGTGGCTGGTGGCATCCCACGGTGTCTCTTCAAGCACAACAAACCACTTCAAGAATTCTGGCTTGGTTTCTAGGAGCTTTTTGGCTTTTATGCAGCTGAGGTGGTCTATTTCATCTAGATTAGGTATCAGAGCCTCGAACGCTAGCGGCAGGGCTGCCAGGTACAGCTTTCTCCTGCGCTCGATATGCTCGTGCTTGAGCCGGTGGATGTGCTGCAGAAACAGCTTCTTGGCTTTCTGAGTCCCTTCCAGGTAGACGTAGTCCTGGTACTCTGGAGAGGTCTGCATCTTTCGGTTGACACTCGGCCAGTTCTCATTGTGGTTTTTCACAATGCGACTCACCAGCCGCCATAAATGTCCAGGTATACAGACTCTTCCAGCCACTGGTAGAAATCTTCATTCATAATAAAACTTCGGGCCTCTTCCCAAGGTTTCCCGGGAGTTATGAAAGGAGAAGTCTCCAGGTTTTCTTTAAATGCCCTCCTCATCTCAGCTCTTTTCCTCTCGTTCCTCAGCTTCTCTAAGTGGGCCTCGTACAGCTGCTCTGCAGGGACGGTATCCATTAGGTCGAAGGGAATCCGTTCGTTTTCCATGTTGTCGATGTGGCTGGTGGCATCCCACGGTGTCTCTTCAAGCACAACAAACCACTTCAAGAATTCTGGCTTGGTTTCTAGGAGCTTTTTGGCTTTTATGCAGCTGAGGTGGTCTATTTCATCTAGATTAGGTATCAGAGCCTCGAACGCTAGCGGCAGGGCTGCCAGGTACAGCTTTCTCCTGCGCTCGATATGCTCGTGCTTGAGCCGGTGGATGTGCTGCAGAAACAGCTTCTTGGCTTTCTGAGTCCCTTCCAGGTAGACGTAGTCCTGGTACTCTGGAGAGGTCTGCATCTTTCGGTTGACACTCGGCCAGTTCTCATTGTGGTTTTTCACAATGCGACTCACCAGCCACTCATACTTGTCTTTTGCCGTAGCTATCTGCTGACTCTGCTGCTTGAGGGCCTCAAAATAAGGAATGATTTTCGTCTTTCCCCGACTTTTATCAATGAGCTGCACTAAGGTGCTGAAAGCCAAGTCCACGTTTACATTGGATCTCGCTGAGGTCTCCACGACCTGGAGGTTCTTTTTGCTTAAGGCAAAAGTATGTGCATCTCTAATGTACCGCTCGACACCCTCATCACATTTAGTCAGGACCACCACGATGGGCTTTTTTGTTTTTGCAAGCTGATTGTAGAGATTGGAGACAAACTTGAGCTGGTCATCAAAGTTCCTATTCATGCCCCGGCTAACATCAATACCAAGAAGAAAACCATCGATCAGCAGCTTTCCGTCTGGCATTTGTTTCTGCTCAAAGTCCTGCTCCAGCCCCAGCTGGTCAGTGCAAAAGTACATGAGTTTTTCAGCTGAGGCAAGCTTGGTTGCAGCAGCTCTCTTGATATAGGGCTGCAGGGCAGTGCTTCGATGAGGCTGAAAAGTCTGATCATCGATAAACTCAGTCTGCTCCACAATGTGCATCTTACATTCCACACAGTCCTCCAGGGAGCGGCTAACTTCCCCCCAGTAGAGGAAGTGGTCGTTGTTGACCACTCGCCCACCAAAGTCACTGGTGCTGAGGACAGAGGTATGGTCCAAGTGAAACTCATCAGCACTCGGGCGCACGAAGCGGTTGCACAGACAAGACTTGCCGATGCCACACTGGCCCTTCTCCTTCTCGGTCCCAGATAATCCCACCACGCTGATGTTGTAGGTGGGAATGCGGACATCTTGCTTTCTTGCCATCATCATCGTCGACACATCCTGCCACAATCAGCCACTTCCGAGATCAGATCAGTGTTTTCCAGTGGACCAGATGACTGCTTGACATCATCAGTGGGGGCTGGCTGGCCATGCAGCCAAAGTGCCGGGTTCCACAGTGCTGTATGCCAGGATGAGATCAGTTTCTGCTGCTTCTCATGGCCAAATAGCCAACATTTCCTCCTAGATGGGGGATAAAAGAAAAGCCATCAGCACCACAATTTTGGAATCTAATTATAGTCACTGAACTATAGAGAAAGTCAACTTTTTAATTCAACAAGTATTTAGTAAACATCTACTGTTCCAGGTCTTAGGCTGGGGGAAGGTGTAAAAGCGAGTCAGACTGACGTCCTGTACCCTCAGCAGGTTGTAATCTGTAAGCAAACAGTATGCGAAGTGCTAAAACAAGGATGTGAGGGCTCCCTGGAAAAATGGCTGGTTTGGGGCTAGAGCTGGGTGAGGACGAGATAAGCCAGGAACAACTTGTTGTGCAAGAAAAAAACGATGAGGCATCTCAGAAGACGCAAGGGCCAGCTTGAAGGGGCTGCTTCCACTGGCTAAGTCTAGGACAAGCTGAGCAACAAAATAATTAAGCACAGGAATGGAAAAAAGAGGAGCTTGAATCCATACAATGGAGTCAGGCAAAAATTACTCCTGGGTGCTAAATCTAGGGGTGAATTTTGAAAAAGAGTATGTATTTGCCTGGAATTTAGGCATCTGCCGAAAGATTTTTATTAGTTGCAAAGGAAAAGGAGAAAAAAGGCAGTCCAAAAACCCAAACCACAAACAAACCTAAAATTACACAGTAGAGAAATCAGGCAACACCTTGACTGAGTATGAAAATTAACATCACCAATGATGAATACAATGACATAACGAGTCAAAATACATGATATCCCCAGGAGAATGTAACATTACTCTGTAGTACTATGGCCTAAACTTAATCTAATACTTGTTTTTTAAAGAGGTAATTTCTTTTTTTTCATTATTTAATTTTATGTAGTATTATTATTTTTTTTTTTACCTTTCTACATGGCTCACCAGACAGAGCCAAAGAAAGCAAGCTGCCAGGTCCAGGACTCAAACCACAGTCGGTCACATGAGAGTCCAGTGCCTTCAGTACCATACCACCTGCTGGTCCCAACCTGAACCTAATATTTAAACAGGAGGAAACACCAAAGACATATGAGCAAACTCTCTATGAAAAGAAAGAAAGAGGGACCAGCAGTTAGCGTAATGGCTATGTCACTGGACTCCCATGTAGTCGACCATGGTTTGAGTCCCGGACCTGGTGACTTAAACTCACGCCGGGCGCATGTGCATGCGTGCCCAAGATCCTGAGAGGAGAATGGAGGAGAAGGGATTGCGGCGTGGCCACCCTCCTGGGGGGGAGATTTCTCGCTTTCTATCTCTCTGTCTCTCTCTGTCTTTCTGGCAAGTGCACACGCCCTGTAGGAAAAACCTCTCCAAAAAACAAACAAACAAAAAGAAAGAAAGAAAGTTAAGAAAGAAAAGAAGGAAGGAAGGAAGGAAGGAAGGAAGGAAGGAAAGAGGAAAAAAAGGAAGGAGAAAAGAAAAGAAAAAGAAAAAGAAAAAGAAAAAGAAAAAGAAAAAGAAAAAGAAAAAGAAAAAGAAAAAGAAAAAGAAAAAGAAAAAGAAAAAAAAAAGGAAAGGGAAAGGGAAAGGGAAAAGAAAAGGGAAGGGAAGGGAAGGGAAGGGAAGGGAAGGAAAGGAAAGGAAAGGAAAGGAAAAAGAAAAGAAAAGAAAAGAAAAGAAAAGAAAAGAAAAGAAAAGACAAGACAAGACAAGACAAGACAGGAAAAGAAAAGAGAAAAGAGAAGAAAAGAAGCGGGTGCAGGGGTAGCCTTTTAGCCTAGTAGTTAAGGAGCCACGTCCTGGACAAGCTGTGGTGTGACAGTTAAGGTGGGTACCACAGGCTGACTGAGCAGACCCAGCCCAGCCCCAGCTGCCTGTGAAACACATCAGGAGCACGCGCATGTATACCCCAAACCCCAACAGAATGGAGGAAGGAGAAGGGAGTGCAGTGTGATCACGCCCTATTAGAGGATGATTCCTCTCTCCGGTGAGCACACATATTATCCTCTAACAATAAAAAAAGTGAGGAGGAGCAAGACTCTCATTCTCAAAAAATGTCAGTGTCATAACAGAAAAAAGTGGCTATGCAGGGGCCTAACGGTGATGCAGTGAGTGGTAATACGTGATGCTCCTCAGAGCTGACCCACATAAGAAGGGCCGGTTTTGTTTCCAGAGATGACCTTGAGCACTCTGGGCTCCCATGTGCCCATGATCTGGGGCTAGAGGTGAATTACTGCGTCAAGACCTGTTGGGGGTTCTGTCTTTTTCTGTCTCTTCTCTATTTCTCTCACTCAAGAAATAAGTAACTAAACCTAAAAAAAAGAGTGCATGTTCAGATTAAGAGAAGCTAAAGAGACTTGATAACTAAATACAACTAAAGGATCTTGGCCTGTCTCATATACCAGAGAAGGTTATATAAGATGTTGTTAGAAAGACTAAAATACTGGACTATGAATACAATATTAGATAGAAGTACTTTATCATAAAGCCAATGCACGAAAATCAGCTGTATTTCTATATACTAACACTGAATAATATGAAAAGGAAATCATAAAAATAATCCCATCTACAGCAGCATTGAAAGGGATAAAATAGGGGCCAGCCAGTGGCATGGTGGTTAAGATGGCTGGATCAACAGGGTGAAAAGGCAACTCAAAGAACAGGAGAAATATTTGCAAACCATACATCTGATAGAGGAGTAATATTCAGAATATATAAAGATCTCCTAAAACTCAACAAAAAATCTGATTCAAAAATGAACAAAGTACTTTAATACATAGTTCTTCAAAGTGTGTACATACACACAGCCAATAAATATGTGAAAGATATTTAACATTACTCATTATTAGAGAAACGCATCAAAATACCACCTCCACCCATCAGAATGGCTACTTAAAAAAAAAAAAAAAAGTGTTGGCAGGGATGCAGAGAAGTTGGAACCCTTCTGTGCTGATGCTGGGAATAAGAAGTGGTACACCAGCTGTTGAAAACAGTATGGCAAGTCCCTCAAAAAGCTAAATACAGTACAGAATTACACGACCCAGCTCTAGGCATATACACAAAAGAATTGAAAACAGGGTCCTGAAGAGATACCATACACTCACATTCACAGCAGTGTTATTCCTAACAACTAAATGATGGAAGGAACCCAAGTGTCCACTGACAGATAAATGGACTAAAGTAAAATGTGGTACACCCGTACAGGGAAATATTATTCAAGCTTAAAAGTGAAGGGAATTCTGACAACATGGATGAAATTTGACATTATGGTAAGTGAAATAAGCCTGTCACAAAAAGACAAGTATTGGGTGGTAGGGGACCAGCAGTTAGCGTAATGGCTATGTCGCTGGACTCCCATGTAGTCGACTGACTGCGGTTCGTGCGTGTCCTGGACCCGGTGGCTTAAACTCATGCTGGGCGTGTGTGCGTGCGTGCCCAAGATCCCAAGAGGAGAATGGAGGAGAAGGGATTGCGGCGTGGCCATCCCCCCCCACTCCGGGGGTGATTTCTTGCTTTCTATCTCTCTGTCTCTCTCTGTCTGGCGAGCACACGTGCCCTATAGCAAAAACCTCTCCCAAAAAAAAGAGAAGCATTGGGTTGGCAGAAGAGTCACGATGCACTTTTGCATAGAAAAAAACAGAAAAATAGGGACCAGCAGATGACATAATGGTTACATCACTGAACTCCCACATAGTCGACTGCAATTTGAGTCCTGGATCAGTGACTTAAAACTCACGCAGGGAGCGTGTGCGTGCATGTCCAAGATCCCAAGAGGAGAATGGAGGAGTAGAGAGATTGCTAAGCGGCCATCCCCTCAGGGGCGTGATTTCTCACTTTCTGTCTCTCTGTGTGAGCTCACACATCCTATAGCAAAAATTTCTCTCTGAAAAAAAATAAAAGGGAAAGAAAAACAGAAAAATAAGTCGTGACTTTTCCGATAACCCAATAGAACATGAATCCACTTATATACAATACTTAAGGGCAGTCAAATTCAAAAGCAGGGACCAGCAGTTGGTATAATGGCTATGTCGCTGGACTCCCATGTAGTCGACCACTGTTCGAGTCCCAGTCCCGGTGGTTTAAACTCACCCCAGGCACTTGTGCGTGTGTGCTCAAGATCCCTAGAGGAGAATGGAGGAGAAGGGATAATGGTGTGGCCATCCCCCCGGGTGGTGATTTCTCGCTTTCTGTCTCTCTTTCTGGAGAGCGCACGCGCCTTATAGCATAAACCTCTTAAGAAAAAAAAAAACTGCCTGATGAGTTGGGACCAGGAGACAGTGTTGCAGGACTCCCACATAGTTGACCGAGGTTCGAGTCCTTGACTCAGTGGCTTAAAACTCATCCCGTGCACATGTGCATGCATACCCAAAATCCCAAGTGGAGAATGGAGACAGGACTGTGGCATGGCTATCCCTCCTGGGGGGGTGATTTCTCGCTTTCTGTCTGTCTCTCTGGAGAGCACACATGACCTATAGAAAAAAATCTCTTTTAAAAAAAGGACTGGTTTCAAGGAAAGCCTCAACAACTGTAGGCAACTGCCTCCAGACAACACAAGCTCCTAACGACGCTAAGTTCCAGACTTAGCAGGAACAAGCAGGACGTGCATGGAAAGCAAGCAAGCGAGAACCGTCCCACTCGCTGCTCCCGGAGATGACTGCTGACATAGACAAAGTCACGAGACGCTTATGAGTATCTATAGCATGTATACGGCCCCTCTGCAATCCCTGACCAGGAAAGGCTTGCACAAAATCAAATCAAAGTGTTTCCTTACACGTACCTCTGCAGTGCAATTCGCACGCGTACAATTCGGGATCATCCCGACAGCACACATGGGATTCCCAGCCTCCCCAGAACTGCCAGCGAAGATGTGGAAAGGCCTGGGGTGCTCGCCTAGCAGAGCGCTTCCTTAGCGACTCCTCACTGCAGGGCCTACAGATCTAAGGTCACCAGCCTGACCAGCGGTGAAATGCAACTTGATGACATCAGACCTACTTCCAGGGATTACGTCACTGGCAACTCAGCCTTTTCCTGTGACTCAATTATTCTCTGTACAGTGAGTCAAATCATCTATCCCTTTATAGAAATCT